AAATGAATTCTGGAAATTTAAGAGTATTTAATTCCTGTAAATTGGTAGGTTTAATTGTGAGATATTACATAAATTACAAAAGTGCTGTTGTTAACTATTTCCTCAAATATTACAACAAATAATAATTAACAACAAATAATAATTAAACAGGTTTTTAAAATTTCAACAAAATGGAATAATTATGAATTTAATTTTCTTCTGTCTATTTTGAATTTTAAATGAAGAAAAATATGGTTTCCTTAAATATATATTTTAATTTATTTATGTATAATTTTATTTTAGTTCATGGGAAAAATGTACTTGAGGGTGCCCCTTGGCGAAATTGGCGACTTATGCCATACTTGTTTGCCCGGAACGCCGTGGTAACTCACAAACAGGACATTTATATCTATTACTAATTAAACCTTCATTCAAAGACCAGTCAATCACTGTTTTTTTTTCATTATTATTAAAATCGTACAGAAACTTAAGATTTATCTTATTGACAATATTCATTTTTAGTACTAGAAGCAAAAATAACTTTACCAGCCGGTATCCAAAGTAGAACTAACGGATCTCTGAAAATAAATTTAAAAATTCATTTAAAAACAANATTTTGACATTAAACATAGCTTCTTCATTAAACATAGCACTCTTCATTTAGCTCAGCTATAATGCGTTTTTTCTTGGACAAGGTCATTACTTGTTCTCTAAAACACTGGTCGACAATAACAAAATCAATACAAATTCGAAATAAATATTTGTTTACGTTATCAACGCATGCGCAATAAGAGATAATGTCTGCGTTGGACCAACTGCTCACGCTGAGCTGACAAAAAAGTATTTTTTTGGCGTTTTCTCTACGTCAACTTTCTGCTGACGCCCAGATAAGGAGCTAGTTCTAAGAAACCAGTCTAAGAAACCAGGCCTTGAGCTAACAAACCAGTATTTTGTTGGCGTCAGCGCGACATTGACGTCCCGCTGACGCCCAGATAAGGCGTTTGTCCTAAGAAACCAGACCTTTAGTATTTTAAATTTAAACCAAACGATATAAATTGCTAAAATTGTTATTTACTGGACAGTTTCTATGGACAGATGATCATAGTAACAATAGCAATCACAAAACTGAAGGTAGGAAAATGTAAAAATTAGCATACGTGCAAATTACAGTGAGACGTGTTTTACGTATGCAAAGTTTGGGTTGCCAAACTGGTTTGTCAAGTGACAACGCTGCTAAGAGATAAAAAAAATTGACGGGTTTAACGGGAAACAATCTATTGACAAACTTCAACATGTCTTCCTGACGTCATTTAGATTATTTTACGAATGTGGTATCATGGTATGCGCTGACATTAGGATTAATGGCAGAACGCTCCTTCATGTGCTTCCAACTGAGATTGCGATTAACCAACGCTACATTAATGACATTCTGCTGCCTAATGTTAGCTTGCTCCGGAGTGCTTTCGGTGATAAATTTGTTTTCCGACAACGCAACATGTCATAGAGCAGTCGATGTCAAGGAGTGTGTACAGAGCAAAGAAATTCGACTCCTCGTATGGCCAGCACATTCTCCAGACCAGAATCTCATTGAAAATGTGTGGGATGCTTTGGAGAGGAGTGTTACTGGACGAGACTGTCCGGCATAAATAAGAATACCCTCATCTGTGCACAGGGGAATGGATCAAATTTCCCCAACAGTTGCTGAATATTGTTGTGTAATAAAACGATGTTTGTAAACTTGCTTTACTGCCGTCCATGGTGGTCATAATCTCCATTGACATCGTACTCTAGGATGCCTACAAATGTTATTTTCATTTTCACGTCTTCTGCACAAAACCACTAATTTGTACCTTGGACGCATTTAAAACCTTTTGGGTTTCAGCGCACAATGAATTATTTTTTTAAATCTCCTAACATTCTGGCCTTCTTTTGTTTCACTTGGCATTTAACCAAGGTTATTTTTCATGCGCTATGCAGCCATTTGTGATCCATCTTTAGCAATTTTCCAGCAGTGTATTTCAAACCTTACATGAGCATTTTTTGAAAAGCTATGACGGTTTAATAACTTTTTAGGAATATCTAATCTATTTTAAACACACTTTTTTTGCAGTTAATATTATGATCGATCTTCGAAAAATTGAAATTAACTAAATATTTCAATATTGTACGGTAAAAATCTATTAAAATTTTCAAATGAAGGAAGCCCCTTTTTCATCCTCGTCAAAAATTTCATTTATCAGAGGTTGTTTATAGAAGGTATCTTACTCTTTTTCATGAATCTCAAACTTATTGTTACTATCAATTTCTCTAAACCAAATCTCTTTAATCACAAATATTAAATTCTACTCAGGCAAAAATATGCATTCAGCTATTATATTTTGCAATAAAATTCCTTTAAAACTATTTTCTTTTAAAACAAAACTGATTTAAATACTAAATTGTTGAAGTCAATCAAAAATTTTTAAAAAACGAAAAGAAAAGAACATTTTTAATGAACGAAATATTTAAAATTTCTATTGCATAATTCTAACAAAAGTCTTAAACGAATGAATTATATTCGTCTTCTCAATTCATTTTTCTTTAAGAAATTTTATGAAAGCATTTGATATATTAAATCCGCCATATTTCTTTTTTATTTTTTGCATTCACTCTCTCCAGTATTTTTCTACAATGGTTTTTCTAAAGAGACAATATTTTGACACCAAAAGATACTCTAAATAAACTTTGTTGTATTCTTTAAAGTGCTGTTATTGACACTTTTTCGAAATCTGGACTCTTTAGAGACAAGATATTTGACAAGATGGCTGAGTAAAGAATTCTCGAATCCCCGTGAACTCATTCTATACTTTCTTTTGAATAACGACCATCGCGTCAAGTGCACAGTTTACCCTGGAGCCGTTTCATTTTTATTTAATAAAATAATTTTTCTTTTCTCGTGATTTCCCAACATTTTGATGTCCTACACATCTGGTAATAGCTTTTCTATTATATTAATCTGTATTTATTTTTTTCAATGTAATTCAAAGTATTGAAACTTTAAACGGATGAAACTTATTGAAGCTTTAAACTGATTTTTTTTAGCTAGTGGGAGGCGCCCCCTGCTCGCTAACTCTCGCCAACCCCCGAAAATTGCTACGCAATCTTATATGGTTTGCTTCGCAAATCAAGATTGCTTCGCTCGCTACTAACTTAAGTACATTGCAAATGCACAAAATTCTAAGAATTCAAAACAATCATTCAAATCCATATAGCAACTTTTGTTTAAAAACTACATCTTTTTAGTAAATACTAAGTCATTAAAATAAATTTGAATTTAAATAAATGTCATGAAATTCGCTAAACCTATTAGAAATGTGCTATAGTATAAAATCTTAAGATAAAATTTCTAAAACTGATATCTCTTTAAAAAGGTTAAAATTTTGGCTATAATTAAGTCTATTAAAAATTGAAATAAGTGAATTGCAATGGAAAAACCTGCATAAACAAAACA